GATTCTATAATTCTACGAACCTGAGACATCCATGTCAAACATACTTTAATTCCTTTTTCCTTTGCCACAGTATATAAATCTCTTCGCCTAAAACATTTTGTTCGCATCTCTGTAGCTTTTAACACCAAAAGCTGCTCTTCTCAAATTTATTTTAAGGTGGCTATCCTGTATGTCTACTAGAGAGGAAATAAAAATGAAGCCCTTACCATGATACATAGACAGAAATTATACCATAGACAACCCATCTTATCACTCACAGTTTGTAGCAACTCACAGCTATATGGACATTTGTGTAATTCATCATAATTTAGCATGCAGAGCCCACTGTCACAACACAGATGCAGGGACCTGCATCATTTGTTCCAGGATGAATATTACATGCAATAAGGATGGCTCTCCATCTTACTCAACCCCTTATTAGTTAAAAGGTAACTCATTCTGACAGAGCTGTGGCTAAAACATAACTCATCATCCTCGCTCACTAGCAAATCCAAAACAGGTTTGACAATTTTATAAATGCCTGTGCTGCAGCATCTTAGGCCAAAATACCCTGGGTGCCCTGAATGTTGTATGAACAGTTCCCAGCAACATGGAAAATTTATGCATTGTTTTTTCCTTAAATTATTTTATGATACAGTTTGATGGTCTATTCAACACATGCTTCTTTCAAAGCATTCAGCTATAGCTATAAGTTAACTGTAAGTTATTAAACCTACAATGGGCTAATTAATCTCTGTTCTTTCAAGTGACTGCTAAAAACTAACATTTGAAATGCCATGTTGATCGCACATTTTCTGCAGTGACTGACAGAAATGGATGATCTCCACAGACACATGAGACTGCTGGAAACAATGCTGTGAACTACTGTTAATCTGCTGAACAGTGACAGCTAAACTTTTATTGCCTGCCTCTGCCAAGTGACAAGTTCTTGAGTAGAGATTAAAGAGAACCAACAATGAAATAAAAATCTAAACTGCTTATTCACTTACCCATTAAGAATATTGGCATATATGACACTGATTTGCATAATCAGAATCTGGATATATATAAACCTGCTACCTTAGGCTAAGCCAAGGTCTGAAAACATCAGTTGAGAATAACTACCTGTGTGTGCCTGCACCGCCTATGCAGGTCACAGTGACAACTCATGCCCTACAGAAAGGCAGTGTTTTGTCAAATTCTACCCAGAGCCTCCTAGAGTTGAGATTTTAATGTTAGGCCAGTCTCTCTGGGTTTAAGATTGCATGTGTCAAAATTCAAGGAGATGGAGATATACACCGTTTGCGATAAGACAGTAACAGTATTATTATGTAAACCAACACAATATCATGGTATATAATACTGTGGCATACATTGCTGTGTTTTACGTTATGAGCAGATGGGGAGGATTTCATTTCTATGTTACTTTCTCCATCTGTAAAAAGGGGATAACAGCTTTCTCACAAGAGGGCTATGAGTTTATCACAGTAATGCAGGTAAAGTAGCCTGGGTTTCTCAGATCTTATTTCTAAGTAAGGTGAAAGAGATGGTGTGCTCACCAACCTTTATGTTTCTCTTAAGCTGCTGTCAAAGAGCACCTAGATTAATTCACAGCAATGTTTTTTTCATTAACTTAAACAGAGGGAAACAGTTCCAGGTCAATAAACCTAAAGCATTCAAAGCAAAAGCTTAGTAAAATATTGCTTGTGTATGTTTCTTCTTTACAGCTGGGTAAGCAAAAAGAACTGTTAGGCTCTATTTATTTTCACAGAATATTTAAGCTTCAAGTATAATGAGAACTCTTCCTTCAATCTCTGATTATCCTGATTAATTCGAGACATTCTATGAAGACTTTCACTTCAAAATGAAATATAAAACACCCCAAGAAGAACCAGGGCAATATAATAGGAGCCCTCCACAGAGAAGTGGTGGATGCCCCATTCCTGGAAGTGTTCAAGGCCAGGCTGGATGAAGCTTTGAGCAACCTGATCCAGTGGAGGGTGTCCCTGCCCATGGCCGAGGGGTTGGAACTAGATGGTCTTTAAGGTCCCTTCCAACCCAAACCATTCTGTGATTCTATGAATCTATGAATATACAAAACTCCACTCTTGCCACTAGATGCCACAGACACAGTGTTAAGCACTTAACTGGAATTTAAAGGCTAAGAAAAAAAATCTTGCCTTCTTACAGTTTATGCCATTGGTAACTACTATGCGGTTACTTGTAGTGAACTTTGCACATAAAACACTGGATTACAGGGGACACTGGTCTGATGCAGCTGGAGATTCTCTAATGATGATAATATTGTCTGTTACACCTGAAGGAGATTCTAGGAACTCAAGGAGCTTCAGAAGAAATTTCAATTTTTTTCATCAGCTTTCATCATTACCTCTTAGCAAAGCACCAGCCTGACACACCCTAGTCCCCCTCAAATGCCCAAACTGTACTCTACATGCATTCTGACCCAAAAATGCTAAAAATGCACACTCACAATATTGTTAGTGTGAAAATGTTCAGAACAGTATAGCTTGATCAAATAGTCAAATAATGACAAAAACATTATTTAAAGATATTATATCAACATAAATCAACAACAAACTTACTTTTACATCTAGGACATGCAGCTCAACTCTAACACTGCTTTCGTCTTCTGTAAACATCTCAATCCTGTTCACATGGCTGAAGTCTGCCAGGAGAGCCACCAGGTTTGTTTTGGTGTTTATCACGTGACTGATTCCGTACCGTGGCCCTACTAACAGAGTCACTTCTGAGTGCTTTTCTCCCTGCTTCAGCAGAAAAAGAAAAAAAGCAAAAGTAACAAACATCATAGGCACCACACAGTGACAAATAACACCACTGCCTTCTTTCATCTTCTTGGGGCTACATTTGCATGGCATTTCTACATTAAAGATTATATTTTTCTAAGAAGATATGATACAGAAGAGCATATGTAATTAAAACCAAAAAGTAATCTGCTCCTTGATATTGACTGTAATGTAGTTTCTAAATGGAGAGTAAGATGGACTGACAGATAGAATCTGCTTATGTTAAAAGAAAATCTTTGTCATCAGGATTTGGTTCATCAAAGGATTTGGTTAATTTTAACAATTATTTTTTAAGTGTACGAATAGAACAATCTCAATAGAAAATTATATAGTTCAGCTTTTGCAAAAAGATATGTCGATAAAAAAATAACAAGATAAAAGAGAGACTCTTTCAAGAGAAATATTACCACTAGTGTTGCCTTGAAAACACGCCCTCCATATAATCGTAGATCACTGAGGAACTTTAGATAATGCACCTTGGCTTGCAGAGCAGATAGCTGAGGGAGAAGAAACAGAGGTAAGGTGGAGTGATGGAAAACAACACATTATCAAATTCAGAAAGAAAAAGTATTTGTGTAGTTTAAGGAGAATGGACTGCAATAACAGCTCTTCACAGCCTGCAACTGAATCATTAGATGCTTGAGTTTCAGAGGAGGAGAAACACTTCCATTCTTTAAGATCTTGATTGTTTAGTTAAAATGCACCAAGGACGTGGGTATGGGCAGATCAGAGCGCTGCGAGAACATTGGGATTGCTCCAGTGAAGGGAAAATGTTAACTACACAGACTAAACATCTGTTCATTGAGGGATTTCAAGGCTAGACAACAGCCTTCCATTCATAATCACCATCAGTTCTCAAACATTTATGTACCTATACAGGGAATTTGCTTTTGTCAGCTACGCGTATTACATTTTGTTAGGTACTTGCAGCATATGGCATATTATTCCACCTCATTACTGCATTTCCCATTTTTTGAAATAAAACTCTTCTACTATATTTAGTAGGGAATAGATCTGAAAGCCGAATACAGTACATATGATCATATCCTGCAATACGTGTCATAATTCATCTCCTTTTTCTCCTCTGAGCTTAAATTACCCACTTAAAAGAAACACCTTGGAAATATGAAACTGAATGGAAACAAGAAACAGTTCATTTCACTCAGTCTGGACCAAAATCTCATATCACCCTGGTATAAATCCTTACATCTGGCCTTTTGAAAGATAAAACAAGATCTTCTCATTTCAGCCACTAGATTTCTAGTTCAAAATCTTATTTGATTTCGAACAGCATTTTAAGAGCCTTGATACTAAGGTTTTTCTAGACACCCAAGGAGGAAATTAATCTGGAGCAGAGCAAGTAGTGGGACTGCTTTCCCCTTCACTAGGTGTTCAGCTGTCGGGGAAATTGTACAGTCAGGGACTGTAAAAAACAGGAGAATCCTGAGAATGACAGGCTTCCCTTCATGCGGAGGGAGAGACGACCCCAGAAGGAAACCAGTTCGTGTGTTAGTACCTACAAGTACAGAAGGTGACAATAAGCTCAGACTCTTTGTTTCTGAGACTTACCTGCTAAAAAAGCAGATGAGCACACAACATATTTCCAAATTAGTAAAGAATGAAGCAAAATCAATTAAGTCTGCTTGCTGCAGGAAAGGACTGTTGCAACCTCGTTTCTAACCAAGAACTGATACTGTATGCCACTCCCATCACCTGCAATGCCTGCAGCAGTGATGGATTCCAAAATAAATCCAAACTTACACTACCAGGATAAACAGTAAGACATCACCAGTATTCAGCTTTAGCCTCAGCAGTACAGGAGACGTGCAGTGCTTCAGTCAAAAAGGTGGCCTTTCTTTCTGAGCATCTCAGGTCATACACACAGAGCTACATTCACAGTCAAGACACGGTCTGAAACCTCCAAGCAGGATTTCTGCTGATGACAGTGAACCTTAGCTAAGGTACCAGGTGCTTTGGAGTTCTTTTGTTCAGAAACCAAGTGTCATGGAGCAGGATTCAACTCATTTTATGTTTTAACTAGTCACTCGTACGTTCTTTTTATACTCCATGGTGAGAAATAGGCGTTTCTAGGACACAAGTCATCTGACCTGGTTTCGGTTCCTAACGTGGGATGGGATGAAATCGCTCCCTAGAAGTGTCTATTTCTCTCCATTGACTACAGAGACTAGATGACTTTCATAAAGAAACCTCATCATGGTGCCTAAGCCCAGCCTCAGCTGTATGCACGTAACAAAGGCACTTCTCAGAGACACTGTCTTCTACCTGGTTTTTGCAGCTGAACTGAAAGCTTAAGTGCTAAGAAACACATTTTACAAGAGCAAGGAGGGTCATTTACTGTAAGGACCATCACTAGATCTTGGCCAGCAAAAAGTCTCTATCTACAGAATAACAGAAAACAATCCTGAAAAACAGCCTTTAAGTCAGGTTTATGGATTAATGAGGTTCAGATGAGAGCACCAGAGGGAGAACAGTAACTTTCCTAACAGGTCTGCCATTAATAGGAAGCACTAAAATAATTAAAAAAATACAACTTTATCATACATGAAACATTAATAACCAGTTTTCTGGCATTATCAAGATGAGAAGATAGTTTACTTGGGGTATAATTAATTATTTTTAATTGTTCTTGGCTATGTTGTACCGAGCACTAAAAGTTAAATCTCTGAAAATATAATGGCTAGGTGTTTCTCCGAAGGATTAACTTTAAATGTTTCCCATGCACCCCAACCTTTCTGTTCTTTAAAACATATTTTCCATTAAGATGCAAATGTAATACCTTTTTACCCGGAGGAACTAGGTTTTGATTTGCTTTGACAAGGTGTGAAAGTGCTTTCTTTATGTTCTTTTCTTTCATGCTTTGCAGCACAGCAGATGGAAGAAAAGTCTCTAATCCCCATTCTTTTCTGCAATAAAAGGCATATATTTAATTTCACATTCCTGTGATGATTATTTATCTAAAGACTGGTGACTGTGATGACAAGTGACTGAACACCTGAAAACAGCAGAAGTGATCAAGTCCAGTTTGGCAGTAACACATTGTTTTCTATAGTCAAGCTATATATTACTTATGAAAAAGATTCTTTAAATTGATATATAATCTCTCTTCTATCCCTTCCATCTCCTCCATTGTGCCATTCAGAAAAGAAGTTTTAAGTTTTATATTTAAAGTCTATGCTGTATTGTTAAACACCACTTAAGTACATAGGCAAGTACCATTATAGAATTAAAATTGCAGAAGATTTAACAACATAATATCAGATTTTATTTTATTTTCTAGGCTTTGTTTTAGAACATGCAAACAAGTCAGCCACTGTCTCTGTCACTTATATTTTGTGGGGTTTTTTCCCCCTCAAAAACAACCTTTTACCAATTTTTTTTTTCTGCTTGAAGCACCCCTTTTGATAGAAGACTGACTTTTCACTTCTAAGTAATTGTTTCTGCTGATTCATTAACAGGACACAATATATCGTGATCTTCAGTAAGGTGGACAAACTCTCTGAGTGTGTAACAGTTATTATTTCCATTCTACAGGTAAACTAAGCAACAACAGCAAAAGTTTGGGGTTTGGGATGTTTTTGGGTTTTGTTTTCGTGGTTTTTAAATCCAAGCAGATGTACACACAGCTGCACTTTGGAAATTTTCTTTTTCTTTGTAGTTACATATACATGTTGTTTAACATAAAACTGGGATATTTCTGTATTTCAGAAATCTTACAAATGGAATCTAGGACTAGATGATCTCTAGAGGTCCCTTCCAACCCCTACTACTCTGTAAATCTGTGAATCTAAGACCCTACAGTCTTCTAAACCAAGAAAACATCTGAATCTTACTATAATAATCTCTACTAAAACCTTAAGTTTCAGACCACAGAAACATAGATCTGGCCATTAAATCACTGAAAGCAAATGACTTAATCTTATCTACACTTACAGGCTATTTCATATGCCTAAACCAAAAGGTAAATGGACCAAAAGGTCCATACTTACTGCTCTTAACACACCTGAGCCAATTTCAGTGACAAAGAATGAACCTAGAATTGGCGCGTGCATACAGGCATATTAAAGAAAAAACCTTGAACTATGAGCTACTGCTAATATTTCACTTTTAAAGAACACAGTGCATTCTCAACTTACTCTATGTATTTGAGGGAGATTTTCTGGGTTTGCTTGGTGGTCACAGTTGCAATGTACATTTGTAATGCAGCCAAGCGCAGGGCAATGTCGTATTTCAGTTCTGGTCCAAATCTTTCCTGAACCACGTCGTTACAGCTCTGCCAAAGAACCAGTAGAGGGAGCATCAAGTTCAAAAATCTTGCACTAAAAACATAGTCCTTTTTTTTTTTAATTAAAAACCCAAAAAAACACCACTGCATGAAAAGTAACCCTGAACTCAGAAGCAGGACCATGCCGAAGGTAGGACTGTTGCTCCCAGAGGTGTCAGATGCTCACCAGGATACGGGCACTTCTGAAGTACACAAGTACTTCTGCCAAAGAGCAGAAGGCACAAGGATTTTGATCTAAGTTCTCTTCATTTTTCCTGGGAAGAACAGTAATCCTCTTACACAAAGACAGCTGGGAGGGTATCAGTGTAGCTGGACTCAGGATAGCAGGATTCTACCTGGTGAGATACCCAGGAGAACCACACTGCTTGTACACCAGTTTTCTCATCCATTTGACTGGAAGTTCCTTTTCAGACATCATTTCTGTCTTATATTACAGTACCAGAAATAAATATTAACAATTACTTCAGCTTCAGTCTTTTCTAAAGCCAAATATGTTTTGGAAAGATATCAAAGCATTGCTGTTTGGAGCGACTTATGAAGGAAAGGGACTTTGCAGATGATAAAGATTTGCACATTCCCCAAGTGCATTCATTGACTTTGTGCAGCAGAAATAAAATCCAGGATTTACAGCAGCCACACTTTTCTATGTGAAGATAAATATATATATACACACTAAATGCAACTATCTTTTTACTCTTCTTTATACTAACAGTGGGCACGCTTCCACTTACCTGTACATAGAGATATTCAAAAGCAACTGGATCTCTTCTTAAAAGATCAATGGGATCCTTTGGGACAAAGCTAATCCTGAAAAGACATCTCATCTTATGTGAGCTTGGCCTCTGGGTCACCTAGGAGAGTGCAATAATCATATTAGACTTGGCAACCTGGTCAAGCAACGTGGTCTCTAGTCTCAGCATTGCAACCCTGCTCCAGAGCCACATGGTACCATGAAAAGTAACTGTTCAACGAAGGATTTTGCCACGGGCTCCAACTAAGTTATTCACATAAAAACATCATATGTATAATCTTGTGGAAAGACTTTTAGACCAGACAGGCATGACTGCCCAATACAACTCATCCTCAAGGCAACAGAATTCACTCATTCAAAACCAGAGTGAAAAGACAGAGAAAACAGACCTTAATGAAAACCATCCAAGTGAAATACAAACTGAATTGTGCTTCAGCAGAAAACGAGAAGGGCTAGAAGGTTTTTGGGGAGAGGTTACATTTTATTTCTTAGACTGACTGAGAACGCAGGTGAAGCACAGCTTGGCAGCTATTCTCAATTTCTCTCCCATGTTTTAATCCATTAGGCAATTTGTGAGAAATCAGGTCTTTTTCTTGGGTTGTTCTGGATTAAGAGATCTACCCCCATGACTTGTAGCCAAGACAAATCTCTCCCAGTACATTAAAATATAAAAAAGACCTCTCTGTGTGTTGGTCAGCAAAACTTTGTTAAGCATGTAACACCATAAGCTGGGTATATTCATGGAGGACCATCGCATAGCTAATGAATAATTGCATGAAACAGTAACAATCCAATAACACCACTGTAAGTCATGGTCAGCAGCAACATTATAACGGCAAATTAAAGTATTGCTGCTTTTACAGCAACTTCAAAGAAGATACCCCCAGAATTAATGTGGTTTATTTAATTAGGCTAATGTGATTAGAGAGTTAGTGTGCTTTATATTCAACATGTTTAATTGATAAAACTATGCTTTTAAAAATATCCAATGAAGTCTCTGTCTTGCCCTAACAATTTGCAAAAGTATGTTTATCTCACATTGTCTCTGACCTCATTCCCAAGTACCTAGGCATGCTCTGTATGTATAAACAAAAGCTCCGGATGGGATTTTCAAAAGCTTGCTGTGTCAGTTTATTCTGACCCTTCTGATTTCAATGAGAATTTTACCAATTACTTCAAAGAGAGATGGCTAGGCCAGGAGAGCCACTACTGAGTACTCTGGATATTGTGGTACCTTATACCCACAAGAAAAGAATGTTAACATGGCAGACTCTAGTGTTGAAAGGTTAGAAAACACTAGAAAGACCATTAGCTGGTAAATGAAGCTCCTTTGTAGTGTTACACAGGCTAATTATATCATCAACAGAATTCTGGCACTTTAATGAAATATTTTTTCCCCCGTCTCATCTAAGGATCCATTTCTCTCTCTTTTTTTTTTTTTCTTTTTCAGATTAGGTGAAATTTAAAAATACTAATATTCTCCTGAAACACAGAAATATCATGGAAAATTTCCAGCTGAACAGTTTGGCAAAACGATAAGCAGTTAAAATCAGGGTCCCCTGCTGGGAACTGTGAAGCAACTCACCCCCAGTCACACCTCCCTGATCTAAGGAAGAAAGTCACACCAGCATTTTCTGGGTCACAATTCATCGCTGAAGTGCATAATGTATCGCTGCACAACCAAGCCAAACTTGGTTTTATCAAAAAGAGTGTAATTCCCTGTCACCTGGATACAGATCTGTATAATCAGATAGGGACCAAAGAGCAAAATAATTTTTTTAAAGGAATTTGGGCAGACGGTGGTTCTCAGAATTGCAACCATGGATTTCCCAGCTGTTGAGAATGTTTATTAGTTGGGCCACATACGATATAAAAAAGGCTTCATAAGTATCTTCTAGCTTTCAGTCTGATCTTTAATAAACTTTAAAATAATTTTTAATAGCCCAATGAAGCGATGAAATATGATGCCTATATAATAGAAAAATAATTGTTTTCTGTGAGAACTTGATTCTTACAACCACAACTAAATACCTCTGATATTTGATAAACTGTATCACTCTATAAATCTTGCAGTTAACTCACATGAGTAATGAAAAAGACTGATTAATTTACTGAGTAATCCATCTCATTAACATTCGTTTTCACATATTATTACACAAACCTGAGTTAGAGTCTCCTGTTCATGTAGCAAAAGGAGTTTCGTTCCAGATCCTTCAACCCTCTGCTCCAGCATCAGGGAAAAGTGTTCAATACACTTGATGGAAAGCTTTTCTTGGAGAGTTAAGATGACATCCTAATTAACAAAGGATTTATAAAATGTGCTTAAATTCATGAAGTGCTTGAGACCCAGTTCTTCCCTGCGACGCACCCTGCCTGTACCCAGGCACAGGTGGAAGCCCAGATGTTAAACAGGACGATGGTCACATTTTGCACCTGTTCTGCACAAGCATTCAGAACATCACACCCACACGCCCAGTGAAAAATCAGTGCCTTCATATTCAAACACCCCTGAGATATGCACTTCAAAAAATATATACATGGGATTGCTGTGAACAGACGACTGTCTGTGCAGTTTAACATGCAAATTATACTTGTGTGGCCCTTAAATCATATCTGTCTCCCTGGAAATAAAACCTCTCCATCAGCAAAGGAGAGACGGTCTTGCTGCTATTCTCTTCACTTACTGTTGGGGCAGGGCCACCAACCAGTACAAACTAAATTTCTAAGTTCAACAAATCATTTAAATGAACGGCCTTTCTTTGTTCTTATGGCAAGGGTTTCTTTTCAAGTCCATGTCTTGAGTTTCAAATGCTGACAGCAAAGTTAGTGATGATAATACCTGTGCAGAACAATAGCTCTAAATTCACGGATCATGTTAATTTATAGTATAATTCACATTTTTTAGAGACTTTTAATTAGATTTTTTACATTGGATTATGTCTAAGGGCAATAATTTGAGAACAATTGTTCCTAAAAAAGCAGCTAAACAAACCTCCTCACAAAACCATTCATATAACGCTTTGTAAATATATGCAGAGTATTAATATCATCTGGCAAGGAATCTTTTGCTTTAGTGAATGTAGCAGGAAAAAGGAGTATATAATAACCCATCATTTAAAAACAGTTTCACATTATGTTGGTGAAAAGATTAAAACATTTCTACACATTCCAAAAGATTTTTAGATATACCTAAGTATCCAGATGGATAGGACTTACTAAGGAGATCATGATGAATTGTAATCCAAGTGTTTTAACATGATTTAGGAAGATTAATTGATCAATTAAAGTGTGTTTATGGAAAATCAACATCAAATTGGTGGAAGGATGAAAAATGTATGCAGGAGGATGGGGACAACTCTGTACGACGTAAAGAATCTAAGACAGTATTAATGGATTGCAAGCAACCACTCTAAATAATGGAGGTTAATGTTACACTATTCTGACTAAAGGGAAATTTATTGCTTAAACAGTAAATCTACTTTTATTTATACTCCTAAACTATGCTCAAAGACAAAGGGCACAGCAGTAACATGAAGAGACGTTATATTGTGAGTTTTTAAGAGTGTGTAATAATGGCACTGTTTTCTGCTAGTCGTCTTGGACCTTTGAAAATATGATGCTAAGGCACAGAGGCACTGACTTACTGAACCAAATTTTCTGCTAGCCTTTCTTCTCACCCAATAACTTAGAGTTAGCCCAGGTGCTACCTCCCAGCAACAAGGAGAGCGAGGACTGCAGGTAAGGCACTGGTTGCACCCTCGTTGTTAAGCAGTGAGTTACAGGACTGCTGGGGGCAGAAAAACCCTGCATTTGCCTTAACTGGGGCACGTCTCCTTCGCCTCAGTTTAAGAAAAGAAGCAGCAATCCACACCCACCTGTCCACAATGAGGAATATACACACACTTAGATGCAAGAATATGTAATATATAGCTGTACAGGCTACAGAATATATAATTCCCTGAATTAGATGCAAAGGAAATTATTCCTACAAAAAGTAGGCTTACAACATCCATACAGTCAGGTCGCTGAGCCCACGTGGGTAGCTTTGCAAATGACTTCAGAGTAGACACATGGTCTTACAGCACATGACACACCCATGACAGACCTACTGAAAACTAATGTGATGTAATTGCCAAAGACTGGTCTTTGGAGGCAAAATATTCTGGAACAGGTTAGTTGGTTTTATGCTCATAAATGAAAATACTGAAAAGTGGGCTTGTGGGTCTTAGAAGGGTATGGAGACCTCACCATCTACATGAGACCTGTCTCCTATTTCTTCACCCAACCAAATTCTCGAATGGACTAAAGGAATTCAGTATCCCATGGCTATAGAGTGGAGGCTTGTATCTATTACCTGCACCCAACTTATGCCTAAGGTATATATATGAACTATAAACACATATTGCAGCCCATTTTTAAGTGTAACTTCAGTACCTTTTGGCCTTCAAACTGGAGTGAATTTCCTCTTGTTTACCTTTCTAAATCATTCTCTCTGCTGTTCTAACTGAGCATACTGCTGAATCACAGTGAGAACAAAAGCAGCCTTTCTTCAAATGTGCATAGCTTTACAATCCCTTAAAACAGGCAAAAGCTAGCCGTGCTGTGGAAAATTGCATCCCAAGCCTTCACTGATCATGCCCACCCAAGCATCTCTCTTGTCTCAGTGTCCCAATCATGCATGGTACCATACGGTGAATTAGATTTGGTAACCAATCTATGTTAAAATTAGCTCACCCAAGCACAAATGCTTGGGAGACTAGCAGCGTGCCCAAAAGTGCTAGTCCTGCTGCTTACTGCACTACTCCAAGGCAGTCGGATACCAACGATGCCTCTGGTTTAGGAACCTAAATGGATCAGTGTCACCGACACTCCCTAGCAGCCTCAGGTTTGTGCCAGGGCTTCAACTTTTCCTTGCTGCATGTGAAATGTGTTATGGAAAGCACAGAGGGCATTAGACTGAGACAAGTAATTCATCACTGGCATAACCCTACAATATCCCATCCCAAGTTCACTGGATGACAAGCTAGATGATATTCAATTAGCAACCAACATCTTAATCTTCTTAGCTCCTGACTTTTGCTGACAAATCATGCTAGCATTTGGCAGTATATCAAAACAATGGGACCATGTAATTTTAACTGCACTCCAGACACATTAAAATGATCATTTCTACTTTTTCTTCATTGACAATAAAATATGTTTTTAGCAGCAGAAAAATGAGCCAAAACCTCATTATTTCTGAATAATGAATCCAGCCAGCCCCAACTGAGCACACTAGTAATTTTGTTCTTAAAGCATTCCAAATAAACGATAATTACTAAAGGTCTTAAAAAGAATAAACTGGCATTCTTGGCACTGCATACCAAGGTATATCTAGCCTACCTTTATTGAAGTGCTGCAGTCAAAACGGAAAGATTTGGTTTGTCCATTTTCAAGATACACCTTCAGAACATTTGGCATGAAAAGAAGTGAATTGTCCTTAACTGTTTCCTGCCAAGCAAATTAGTGAATCAGATTACATCATGTAACAAGGGAAATCTAGATGTTATTCTATAGAGAAGGACATCATTCAGGTGGAACAGTAACAACTGAAAAGGAGTGTGTCAGCCAATACCCCACAAGTGTCCAGCCATGCTCATTGCAGCTGCACCCTATAGGTGTCTTTCCTGGAAAAATATAACTATTCACATATATTTTATATCTGCCTTGGAGTATTTTAAAAAAATCCCTAAATATTATTTCTCTGACAATAAATGCTACCCCTAAAGTGGAAACATTTTCAATAAAACAGAAAAAGATCACTGTTTCTTAGAATATATTGAGCTATTTAATGTCTTCAGTCTATGAAACGGGAACTGCAGATTCATTAGTAAGAATTACAATCAAGGTGTTATGCGCTCTCTTTATGGTTGGATATTAAATGCTAATATCTGTCATCATTTAAGGAGAGTAACATATAATACTGATACTTAATTGTGACGATTCATAACAAGGATAGTAAAATAAAGAGGAAAAAGGAAGGGAAACAAAGCTTTGTTTGTGGGGTACTTGGGGTTTTTGTTTGCTTGTTTGTTTGTTTTTAAAATTGCTTTTGACAAAAAGTAATAGTAATTTATGTTTGGAACAGAGTTGGATTAAGACATCCATGTAGAAGGATGTTCTGTCAAATTACGAAAATGAGCTGGGAGTTCATGTTTAAGGAGGAGTTCAGTGCCTCTCAAAGGGAGGCTGACTTTGCCTGAGGGCTGGAAACAAGTTCAAGTAGACAAAACAAATTTTAAAGAAGTCTGTAAGTTAATGCTAATCTGTTTTCCTGACTTCTTTTCCTGCTGCTTCTCTTGAGCTTATGGGTTTTCCTACTACAAAATTGCTCTGAAACCAACTCATTATCAAAGCATTATCAAGACTATAAAATCAGACATATATGTGCTATCATCACAACATGCACCCACTATCATTTTAATTTCATTTGAAGAAGGGACAAATTTTTCACAATAACATGGGCCCAATGGACTTTAAAAACACATCTTTCGCAAACTTCAGAAACGGAAAAACCTTTCCCTTTGCAAGCCTATCATCATTGTTCCTACCATATAATTCTCTCACTTCCCAGCCTTGAGGCATACCTTTGGATGAAATGCTCAGTCCTTCCTGAGGTTAAATAGTTGAATACTCACCGACACCTGGCCATTGATAATTACTTCTTCTGAGAATCGCACTTTGACAGGATTGGACTTCAATCTTGCCTTTTTTGCAGCACTAATAAAAGCTGATTTAGGAGACTGGAAGGAAAAATGATGACAAGATATATCACATAATTTCAAGTTAAAACCTATCTTTCCTTTTTCAGTTATTTTCCCTGTTTCTCACACACTGGGAACTCCAGGTATACAGCAACACTTTGCGTACCATTCACGGAAGAATGGAAATACAGTCAAACCATAACGCTTCCTGAGATAATACATATGAGGAAACACCGATGCATACTGCACATACTGAAAGTTATCCCACTGTCAGACTGGAGCGATGAGAAGGGCTCTCGGTGTACATGCAAATTCCTTGTAGTGCGTCCACAATGACTGCTGTCAACCAAACTTGTTTGCGTGAATGGACACCAACCAGTGACCAGCCAGTGACCCTTTCTTCAAACACCAAATGGAAAATTTTTGCATAATCTATGATCCACTAGATACAGATATACACACAACTTCTGCCAAAAAAAGGCTGAGAGCTCTCCAAGTGCATCAGCATCTCACTATGTTAGTCCACTTCAAAACACAGGTTAGAATCCCCAAAAGGCACCCGTGGGCCAGCAGACTTCCCCTGAATGTATCCCCTACGGACAGCCTGCGCAAGACTCGTCTTCAGTAGATCAGACACTTTGTGGGATTTCCTGGGTTGATTCATCAAGTCTAGAAACATTCCTAATTTTCTTCTGGGACCTAATTGACTTCTACCTCCTACGTTATTCAATGGATTCACCTGCGATCAAGTGTTCAGTCCCTGGAAAAACATTCTCTTTATTTGAGGAGTTTGACTAAAAATCCATTTTTAGTAGCAAATTAAATATTCACAGTAAATGGGACTTCCATTTTCAGCAGCAGAAGCAAGGCAGTTTTATTCTCAGGTGAATTAGAAACACAACACTTCTGGCATTGCCTAGCTCCATAACCATGATAATGGGCAACAGAATAAATTCTGTCTCTGGCTAAAAACCACCAGGCTCCATCAAGCCAGGTTTTGGTCCACCCATTTCAGTAAAATGTGAATTAAGATTTTCAGAATCTTATTCTAACTCCTGAGGAGTGGCCTTACTAGTTTTGGATACTGAAAAGAATAACTCATGGTGGCTGGCCGGTGAGAAATTAGTGCAGGCATCAGTGATCATGATCCTAGAATAATTTCCTATTATCAGTGTGGCATGACAGCAGTCCTTGTAAACACAGGAAGTCTTGTCACCATCACTCACATTTTGACTCAGCTAACAATCTGCAGGAGTGACGGAGTAGTCCAAGGCCATGTGCTCTTGTTGTCTCTGATCTCTGATGAAACTGCTTAAAAAGTTATTTTCTTGTGATGTTGAGGCCTTGTTTCTAGTAATTAGCTGGAAGAAGTCTCTAGCTCATTTCTGTATGCCACTGATTTATTATCACATCAAAAACATGGTAACTGTTACCACCATAGGCTCAGTATCAACCAGTGAACAAGGAATAACAGATGCCACGTTCTCCCAGGAAATATCAGAGCCTTCCGATAATTCCTGGAGTACAAAATAGAACCAAGAAATAAAAACAAATGCTTCTTCACTTTTGCAGTTCATTCTTTCTTACATCTTCTCTGGCAGCTCTAACATACATCTTTTCTATCAGTAACAGTAAATGACAGAAAATTCAACCCCATGATCAAACCAAGCTCAGCTTCCAAAGCCAGTGCTGAAAAATGCAGAAGGTTCCCCAGAAGATTTGAAACAACCACCGAAAAAAAAAAAAAGAAGTTTTTTAAAAACAAAAAGTGAGTGTCTCAGGGCGGGGAACACAAAACACTTGTTCGGCAAGAAGGTACAACATGGAAACCCTGTAGAAGCATGCTTACATACTGTACTCCAGAGATTTATTCCTAGAAAGACACAGTATACAATGATCAGTATGATGATTCTACACCTGCCTTTGCTCTCCATGTAGTCCCTTTCTGCAGCATGTAAGGATAGCCTATATGGCATTCAAGTAATGGACTGCAACCTGTCGATTCCCACTGCCACGGGGCAGCACAGCTACAGCAATAGGCTACTGGCTCTCCCAAGGACAAGGGGTGAAGAGTGGATTTCACTTACTCTTCTTGCTGGAAGAGGCTTTTTACAGCTGTTTGCTCTTATTGCAGATGAGTCACCAGCTCTTTACAGGCAGAATGCCAGATTTTCTCCTGGATTCTGGCAAGGTTATTCCCATACACAGAATCTGGCAAGCCACTACGTGGCTCTGTCGCTCTCCCCAACTTCTGCCTCTCCAACCTCAAAAGCCACTTGCAGGGGGGCATAAGCACTTCAATTACGTTATTGAAAAAAATGTGATAGGGGAGTCCAATGCAACTGAAAGGTTTGAACATACGCGAGTTCCCCAGATCCCCTCCAGGATGCGGGGCTTAATGTGCGTTATTGCACGGCCAGGAGAGCATGCCATGGCCTGCCATACATCGTGGAGCTTGCCTCCCTTCCCACTTCCTCTGTGGCAGCATTGTGAGGACTCCATCCCTTTGCCAGGCACTCTGGGTGAGCCTGGAAGCAGATGGCTTTCTAAAAACCTTCAAACAATAAACCAGAGGTATAAGAAAAACTAGAACAGCTGCGGCAAGTATTTGGGGGAATGTCCTCTGCTGGGGAAAGGTTTGAGTAATAGCAGAGCTTTTGCATTTAATTGCACAATCTCATTGTTTCTACCTCTGCATCAACTTGGCATTTGACATTTTCTCTTTGAGAAAGGAACTGTTTCTAAAGAGTGTGGCACCTACCTAGTGAAACAGTCGGGTTTGATTGTCGAAACTTGCTTGTCTAACAAAGCATCGCTCTATTCTATTTTAATGTCTTCAGGTTTGTAGGCAAAGAATGCTATCAATTAATGACTCTCTGAGTGCCAGGTTCATTTGTTTCTGATACTCCATCTTTTAGTCAAATGGAAGCCATTATCCTCAGCTAATGACCTTAAGCAGGAGGTGTTTACACTAATGCAGAACATTTATCACTGCAAGTAAAGTATTTGCATTGTCACAGATAAAAACAGCTTAATTAGAGTGACTTTTGCAAAATGAGGGGACATTTAACAAGGAGCCAAAATACTTAAAAAACCCCACAAACTTCATAGTGTGTGGCCTATGCACTGTTTACTGTTAAAAGCTCAAATTTATCAGGATTTGGAATAATTTTAACTTGTTTACACAGGATTCAGTAAAAATTCAGCTGACCATTTCAGCACTACCTGGAGAAGCTGCTAACAAGTGAAATGAATGAAGCACTGTATAGAGATTTGCTTGGAGGAAATGATAGCGAAGACGGAGACTTTCCTTTGAACCTCACTTACGCAGGACTGCAATCAATGGGCATCCCATCAGCAGGGTCAAAACATGACAGATTGCTGTAACAAGAGGAGGCTTTCTGTAAAATGTTATTTTTCTCATTTTCTGAACTTTTCAAAATTAGATCCTATTCATGTCAGCAGTATTATAGCAGGTAATTTTTCAATAGGTCTTAGAAACAATACCCTACATTTTGAGGGAAAATGTTTTTCATTGAAAATAAGAATGTCTAGTGCTTTGCCTGCTTTTGCAGGTAAAGTACGATTTGGGAGAGATTCCAAGGGAAATGTTGTTTATTTGCTGCAAAAGCCCCTTTGGGTGCTGGTAGAGATGCTGCAACAACAAAACCTTTACTCATGCTCAAGAAAAAGAAGAATTTAGCATTCAGAAGTACATGGTGTAGTATTGAGCTACCATAAAGAAATGAAACAAGACAGCAGTATGGGACAGTCACAAGGTGAAAAGAAAACCTGCTCTGTGACAATGTGTCAAAATCAGACAGAAATACTGTAGTTTTAAATAGCCACAGATGGCATATATGCCATCAATTTTAAGCTTGTTATTTAAAAACAGTCATTATTTTAATATGAAATATTACGTTTGTTAGGAAACTAGGAAGAATTGCATGACTGCAAAAATGTGTTGACTTTTTGGTCCATCCCTGAAGGCAATTATATGAGACAAAATTTAGCAAGCAAATAAAATGTGCATAAGAGGAAGAATTAGATTTATTTAGTTGAACAGTACATAATGCCCAAAGGCAAACTAAATACTGCCATTCATAGCTGTGAGCGAGGCTGAAACAGCTACACTGGCTCACAAGAGCACTGTAGAAGAGCAGGTAGGGACACAGAACAAATAACATCGAGAAGTTTTACCATGCAGTAATTTGTTATAACCACCAGGCACTGACAGATCCTCATCAGGAGTATTTCTCTGTTAAACTCCTGGCACAAATTTAATTGCTGAAACAGTGGTCAGATTTGGGTTCTCTCCTAAAAGTTGGTGATCTATCATAATTATATTTTACTATTTGAATTATTTACATTTTACTATTTTTAGGTGGTAATCACAGTCTGATCGTTAGCCCCATACATGTATAAGATGTACCTGTAAGGTGGGGAATAGCCAAACCTTACTTGAATGCAGACATTGAGAAAATCCAATCTATACCATCTACAGTGAACGATAGCCTAGTTTACTGTGATTGTCCCAAAAAACTATGAGTGGAATCACAGGTTGGCTTCAGTCCTTCTGGAATGTGCAGACATCCCAGCTCATCTCATGACTAGATGGGCCTGGGCCATCCAGCTCTGTGTTTATTAAAAGTGGAGGTCTTCCATAAAATCTCCTCCACTGACCCCTTGGGATTCTGCCTCCCCAAAGTTTAGCTCTTTACATTCAAGGATTATTCCTTTACATTCATGGTTACCCCTCACACACAGGCGATTGTTCTTAATCAAGTGCAGAAAAGTACAAAAAGAGTCAGCCACGACGCACTGCCTTCAGACCTACAACTCTGCAAGGATGTGGACATTTGGGAATGAAAGGAACCTTCACCAGATACAAACCCAGGCTAAAATGAGTGACAGTGATAATGCACCTGAGAAGGCTAATGAAGAGGGAAGAGAGATCTAATGGCAACTGGAGGGGGAGGGGAGAACTACAAGGAAGAAATGGTGGACAGGGTGAAGGGTGGAGGGGCTCTTTTCCACTTTGCTGAACCAATTAACAGGGAAGTTTACACCAAATTTTCCACTGCTGAGAAGATCATGTATTTTGTACAACTGCACTCTAGAAAAGGAGGCCTCCAGGAAGAAAGGTCAGGAGCAGCAGTGCTCACTGGGATTTGCCCCACAGGCAGACGGAAGAAGAAAGACTGTGCAGCACAAGTCTGACCTGAGAGGAGGCTGCTTCAAACAGCAAAGAGTGGTTGAACAGTGGCCATGGGGCAGACCAGCACTTCCAGGAGGCAATACAGTGATGGCAAGCTTGTCATCAGTCATGCCATGATCCTCTTCTGTGTGGGATTAAAGCTGTGTAAGGAACTGACCATTTCAGAAAGCTGATGTGGAGGTTATACAGTGGAAGGGATAAGAAATATAGATAAGAAATATATACATTCAAAGATATAAGATAATATAGATAAGAAATATATACATTCAAAGAAAAAAAGCCATCATTTCTACACCAACTTCACAACTACAAGAAGTCAAAAGTCATCTTGTTCAAAATGCTCACGTCTGGCTTCCACATGATTTCTAAAAGTGCACCTTGATATTCTTTTTCACTTTGGATTTTGAAGTTTTTGTGAAAGAACCGTTTCTTTTTTGTACCATTCCTTACAACCGCAAGTCTAGATATTGTAATTACTGCTGTTAACGACTCCAGAAGGCAAAGCAGCATGAAAAATACTGTGAGACTCTTTCAATAAGACTGTTGCCACAATCATTACAATCCATAAGTGTGTTATTTATCGTATTTTTTCTGCAAACATTGTGTCTCAGACCAGTAACTGTGTTATAACGAGCAGAATCCTTTCAAAATAGAAAAAGATCTTATCCTTTTCCCACTGCAGAACTTATGCACAGCAAAATTGCCATAGATCTCAGTTAGGACTGGACCACATCCAAGGAGCTTAAGAGATTAATCATGAAAGCAACCCATCAAATGATCTCTACACATAAAATCTGAACAGATATCAAAACAAGCAAGTTATTTGATTTGAGTAATGCTTAAAACTTAATAAGGCAACAATCAGAACGATAGTTCATGTACAGAATAAAATTGTCAGAAATCATAAACAAATGCCATACTTCCAGAAATCAAAGCTTTAAACTGCTTCAAATGCTTTAGCTGTTCGGTGACCTCCTTATGAGCACTGGTGATATGAACCTAGCAGAGATTTCTAGATCGATGGAAAGAAAAAGATAGTCTAATGCTTTGGTTTGGTCATAATCAAAATGAAATTTTAATGAGTTTAAGCATTAAACAAAACTGAATGCACTTAAGCAAAAACGATCCGCAAAAGGTTTCAAAAAGTACTAAGTGAACTATAGAGTACTATAAATCTAGATTACCTCGACTTTCACCTGCAGTCATAAAGGATGGTTACTTGAAAGCATGAAAACAAAACACACTCTAAATAGCACAGATAAAACAATTAAGAAACAGCACTCCTGTAATCCATCTTGGCAGATATTTTCCATGCAATGATAGAAAGAAAAAGGTTCACCATCAAGAATAGAGATCAATGAAATGTTTGTAAAGATGTATTTCTGCCAAGAATGGGGAAGAAGTTCAGTCTTTATTTAAAAGCTCTTACTTTTCCTTTGTCTGGTTTCTACTTCATCTTTCCAGTTTTATTGGCAAAATAGTAAAGGGAAAAAAGGAGGAGGCAAAATTAAAGAAAGGGGAGGACACGTGCATCATAATTTTTTGAAGGCAAAAATACTGTTTCCAAACTGTAACACAAAATGTATTTGCCGCAGGACCCCTTGAAGAGAGGACCAGGACAGGCACAGCAACACCTGGGATGGCAGAGCTGGGAAAGATGTCAACTAACAGACTCAGGCACTACTGAGAGTAACGTTACGGCAGTATGAGGGCCAGTGTGGGCCAGATGTTCAAGGCGACTCAGGAGTCCCTAAGAGACTTCACAGCCCAGGGTCTGCATAAACTGAGGGACCCTGCACTGCTTCAGGGCTCCAACATGGCTGCAGACGCTGGCAGCATCCCAACTGCTTCCCGTCCCTATGCACACATTTGTTTCCACTGAGGGAAAACTTGGGCAGGAAAGTGAAGCAGGAAGGATGCTATGAACCAATAAGACCCTGGTCTGGACAGGTTGGAAGGCACAATAAGAGGGCACAAGCTAGAAGGGATCTGCAGGGTGCAACAGTCCTGCAGCTGGGGCTCTCCCAACTAAGCTCACGCCACTGAAGCCTGCCAACTTTGGGATAAAAATGGGTCAGTTAAAGCAATGATATGCATACATCAATCACATCTCCTGACTGCTCTGAGGACATTTTTGGGGAGAAACCTTCATGCCTACGTGACAGAAAATGTTCATCGCCCCTGAAAACACACGTGCTTTCTCTTCTGAGGAGGAGCTGGGGGAGTCTGACTGATGTGCCAGGGCAGGGCAACAGAAATACACGTGTAAGATGGGCACATCAGCCCAAATGGCTGACAGGACAGCAAAGCGTTTCAGTGTCATTCCTAGTTCAGTG